TGTTATATGGAATTACTAACATCCCTAGGGGAAGATTGCAGTATACACCTGTTATAACATCCCTAGGGGAAGATTGCAGTATACACCTGTTATAACATCCCTAGGGGAAGATTGCAGTATACACCTGTTATAACATCCCAAGGGGAAGATTTGGGATGAGTCAAGGAGATCAGGTTTGCCAGGGGTCTTGCACTAATAATCAGTGTGAGACACAGCTTTGTAGACCTCTTACCAGCTTGCATAGTACTAAGCCTCATTACTTCCTTGCTGGCAAAGAAATGCTTGAAGTAATTTTTCCAGCATGAGTGTGCATTGGATATGAGGTGGCAAATAGAGAATGAGGTGTGTGTAGCAGCTAATTGGCTATGACTGTGAATCTCGTATCCAACAACTAGCCCAAATGGAATTATTGTTTCATCAAATTTCTTTTAATCCTGAACTTTTGAATGATTTCAGCAAATATTGTCAGCTTCCAATATATTGTAACAAGTTTCTGTATAAGGTGACTCAGAGTGTGAACTGATGATCATGCAGAGTTGAGTGAACCAATCAATATGCTAGAAATACAATATCCAGAGTTAAAATTTAATAATCTATATTTTCTAACACTGCATGCATGATTACAACATTTCATTTTGGAATTAGTGTTACAGTTGGAAGAAATTTTTTCGAGGCTCAGGCAACACCTTGAGCAATTAAGGAGAAAGAATGTCAGTGGCAATTCTTTATGACGAGGTCTTTAACTTTAATTGCTTTGAATTTATGTTGAACTTAAAAAAAGTCCCATTTGCACAGCTAAGTAGTAATAAAACACAATACTGGGAAGGACTGACTGGTGTTGAATTTAGGTCTGTGATCATATGAATGATCAACGAAATTGGACAACTTCAAAATGAAATGTTAGCATGCTTGGAGCACTCAGCAGCCCCTATGTTGTCTACTTGAGCATAATCACCCACGCAGTCAGATCTTATCCCAGTTTTCTTGTCGCATGAAGCAAATAGGAGCACTTATTAATTACCACTCAACCCTGGATGGGATGCTAGTCCTTTGCAAAGTTATAAACCTCCAGAATTTTACAGGCTTGATTCCCTGACAATTCTCTGATACCCTTTAATAAATGCTCCTGGGTGCAATGGAGAGAAACATTTGGAAAGGAAAGTCTTTTGCCCAAGAACACAGTACTTTTACCAGGGCAGGTCTCTTACCCAGACTTCTCGGCATGGAGACCACTGCAATTAACAATTATTCGACGAGCGCGCGTTGGATATGAGATGATAGATAGCCAACGAGGCGCGTAGCGCCGAGTTGGCGATAATCATCTCATATCCAACAGCGCGAGTGGAATAATTGTTTTATTGAAAACGCTCCCAAGATATTAGACAAATCTTTATATTAGACAAATTTTTCAACTCCCTTTTAATTTTAAGCAGACGCGTACGCTTACCATATTCGTCGATTATGGTATACTGGCTCATATACCATAATGGCTAAGCCATTAAAAAGTTTTGAATTGCATTATCCAATAATCCAGTTTTTTATAATGACAATTATTAAAAACTAGATCATTGGATAATGCAATTCAAGACTTTTTATTGGCTTAGCCATTATGGTATATCAGCCAATATACCATAATCTACAAATATGGTAAGCGTACGCATCAGCTTAAAATCAAAAGGGAGCTAAAAAATCCAGTTTCTTCTTACAAAATAATAATTTCTTGGGGGCGTTTTTAATAAAACAATTATTCCACTCGCGCTAGTTTTATTAAAAACGCCCTCAAGAAATTATTATTTTGTAAGAAGAAACTGGATTTTTTAGCTCCCTTTTGATTTTAAGCTGATGCGTACGCTTACCATATTTGTAGATTATGGTATATTGGCTGATATACCATAATGGCTAAGCCAATAAAAAGTCTTGAATTGCATTATCCAATGATCCAGTTTTTAATAATTGTTAATTAGACCACAGCACGGCTATATTAAGTGTGATACAATTGCTGTCAACCTAACTGAGTCAACCAAGGTTACATACGTGATGTTTACACTTAGATATACAATAGACTGTCAAAATTATCGATTAAACTATAAACAGTAGTACCAAACCAGCGTATTGTATCTTTTAGATTCAGTTTCAAACTGGTCATGGAGTTTCAGTGTGTGAAGTACTTGAAGGTAAGGCTGTAAACGAAACAAAGGAAACTAAATTTTCATTCCTTGGCTTTTTCATTACGATTATTTTTTTACAAAATGATTTTTTTGGTTAACAACTGTAATACATATTTCTCTTAATAACTTGTGATGACATGTTAGATCTGTATGATTTATGCATGGCGCAGTACAGCACAATTACAAGTAGAAAAAAATACAGTCGTATACATTGCATTCTTCAATCTCTCTACTCAATTTTTTATTTTGATTTCCCTTCATCTCTACAAATTCTACTGAAAACAAAAGTATTCATTTCTACTAACAGGACTATGGTTTTAGTGGGCTGTACTCACGTGCTCCGGCTTTTTCAGGGACAGTTATATATTACTTCAGTATGTGCATGGTTTTTATTCCTTTATATTGATTATTTAACGTGGTATGTTTTTTGTTTGTTTGGTTTTTTTTTTTGTAGGGAAAGGACGCAAAGGAAATGTTCTCTCTGGCGTATTTGGGGTTCGTTCCAATCAACCTTTGTCTGGGATTCATTTGGATAAGATTTGGTGTCCTGCTCTATCGTGAAGTGCGAAAGAAGTGGTTCTCATCTGAAACAAGGGTAAGTACCAAGCGAATTTGTTTTTATCTGCCAAATTGATGACGTTAAGTGGCCATCGTAAAGAGTTTTCAAAGCTGAGGTTTTTCTTATTACAAGTAGTCCTTTTCCGAACAACGACTCAGAAACCTTCCTGAGTTTTCTTGAGTTACTCGTAGATAAGGGCAACTAAAGATCTAGCCTGTTTAAATTTTACCTTGATTAACAGTGTATTTGAAATGAAGGGTGCTTTAAACGGAACACCACATTATAACAAGCAGAAACCACTAACATCTTTAATGCACTAGTTGATCAACCTCTTTTTACACAGGGTCATAATTATTCTACCACAGAAGTGAGATATACCACGAATATTCAAAGTCTAATGATGGTATTTGATAATATGCACAAGAAGTCATCACAATATTACTTTTTCTTTTTCAGGGTGGCGGTGAAATTCGCGATACTTGTTTGGCGAGAGAGACGGAGATCGCTCACATGAAGGAACTTCTGAATCCAGGATCGATTTCGTAAGGAGTTGGGATCGACAAACCGGGAGAACGGGCTGCCCAACGCTGAGATATATTAATCTTAATTCATATTCACTGTTGTTATATGGAATTACTCGCTATTCCCTCTTTTTGCTTCGACAGGGAGAACATGATTGAATTAAATTGGTATTCAAGGCTGCTTCATTGTGTTTACAAGTCAAGGAAAGGTATGGGATATCATACATAATATACTAAAACAGTTTATACTACTATATACTAAAACAGTGTATGGCGTCGAACGCGCACCCCAATTGGCCTCTCAAACTAAGAATATCCTTTGCTATTTCCCTCCGAACAACTGACGCGGAATTTGCCCCCAAAAATTCCTATCAACTATTTCAGGAATAATGTGTTAAAATCATCTTTCTTGTCCTATATTATCTCAGTGTTTCATTTTGGTGAAGAGTTGTTAATTATTCTCGCCAAGTTGTACAGCCTTGAGCGGGAATCATGTAAATTTGGAGATGATATCTTGATAGACAGCTATTTATTTTAACTTGTTATTAGGGTTTACTTTTAACTTATTAAGAAACCATTTTTTTTTCTTTGGATTTAGATTTCAAATTTTCGACGCAGTTCATTTCAACAACGCTGGTGAGCGCCTTGACAATCTTTCAGGTGAGTCAAAAAAAATATATTTTTTTTTACTTAGTTGAAACGCTGCTCTTACTTTATTTCTAACCTCATTTCTTTATCTCCCAAGATCGGACTGTTAATTCTCCCCTCTAGTCGCTACATACTTCCTTGTAAATTAGTTACAAGAATATGATGTTAGATCAAGAAAACAACTTCTTCTGAGTTTTATGGAAAATTGGTTGCCTCTGACTGTTGTTATTTCTGAAACAGACGTTTCGGCTAATGCTTAAGCCTTCATCTGTGATATGAAAAACGAAGATCGCTATCATACGCTATTTAAAGTTAAAAACGTGTCGCGAAGCTTGCGCCCGTAACTATGTATTTGATGCTCGCGCGAGGTCTTTATAGGCTTCTGGAAGTACGATGTGATCGTTCCCAGACCTCGCGCGAGCATCAAATACATAGTTACGCGCGCAAGCTTCGCGTCACGTTTTTAACTTCAAATAGCGTATGATAACGATCTTCGTTTTTCATATCACTGATGAAGGCTTAAGCATTAGCCGAAACGTCTGTTTCAGAAATAACAACAGTCAGAGGCAACCAATTTTCCATAAAACTCAGAAGAAGTTGTTTTCTTGATCTAACATCATATTCTTGTAACTAATTTACAAGGAAGTATGTAGCGACTAGAGGGGAGAATTAACAGTCCGATCTTGGGAGATAAAGAAATGAGGTTAGAAATAAAGTAAGAGCAGCGTTTCAACTAAGTAAAAAAAAATATATTTTTTTTGACTCACCTGAAAGATTGTCAAGGCGCTCACCAGCGTTGTTGAAATGAACTGCGTCGAAAATTTGAAATCTAAATCCAAAGAAAAAAAAATGGTTTCTTAATAAGTTAAAAGTAAACCCTAATAACAAGTTAAAATAAATAACTGTCTATCAAGATATCATCTCCAAATTTACATGATTCCCGCTCAAGGCTGTACAACTTGGCGAGAA